CCGGCATGGCCAGAGCCAGCACATCGTGGCCGAGGACGACATCATCAAAAATACCCCCGCCGACGGGGTATTCCACCATCTTCTGGTAGGTGGCGGAAGCAATCTCCTTGCCGGCCCTCTTCGTCCGTGGCTCTTGGACGAGAGGGAGCGATTGGACAGCATCGCTTGGAGCAGCAGTGAGATCCACAACGGGACCACTATCGTCCACACTTGGGACGGTCAGAGTGCCGGCCTCAGTAGCATGGGAAGGAGAAGGTGCCCTCTTCGTCTTCTTGGTGACGTTCAGGCCGGCCTCAGTCAATTTCTTCTGGCCGTCAGTGGGAGGCCTCTTCTTCTTGGACTGGGCAGGCTTCGGGGCCGCACCAGCAGTAGCCCCGCCTCCCTCGGCCACGGCCCGTCTGGCCGCCTCGGCCGCCTTTGCAGCCAACTCCTCGGCCGCCTTGGCCTTGGCAATAGCCATGATTGAACGACGATCCATGGCAAAATCTACACAAAGGAAAACGAACAGATTAGCAAGGCAAAAGAACAAATTATAAAGGAAGAAAGCCGAAGAAATAATTACCATCGGCCTCAGCAGGAATGCCCAAATCCGGGCCGTCGGCCTCTTCGAAGGTAGTGGTCATCCTCGGCCAAAGTTGGATATCGTCCTCCTTGTTGCCATATACATGATATCTTAAGAAGCTGAGGGCGATCATCTTGTATTCGGTGATATACTCCTTCACGCTCCTCGGCCCCCCTTCCAAGAACGCCTCCACCTGAGCGTCCAAGATAGAACTCTTCGGCGGGTCGTGCAGATTGAACCTCCCGGTATGGCCGAGAGAGGGAAACTCGGTGCCATTCTCACCAAGGGATACAAAAACGAACTTGCTCTTCCACCCATGAATGGACGAAGGCAAGTCTGTGAAGCTCCTCTTCTTCGGCAGCTGTTGGAGAGTAGCATAGGCCGCACAATTTTTGTGGCTTCCTCGGCCTATCTGATAAGTATTCATGAACAGAGCCGTCGTCGGCCTGTAGCCCAGCTCCTCACAGCGGAGCAAAAACCCCACCATCAACGAGTAGCTGTTCGGCGTCAGCAAGGCCGGAGGGAGCCCCACCATGTCAAGGTATTCAGTGATGAAGGGGTGAAGGGGAAACCTCAGCCCCTTGGCGAAACTCATCGGGTATACTCCAAAGTATCCCGGTGGCGGATGAAGAACATGGTCCGTCGGCCTGGGTGCCCTAACCCGCCCGAACAGCCCCACGTACATCTGGGCAACCAAGTAGTCGGCCGCGCTGCTCTCCGGCTTGATCGGGAAGATGTTTGTGAGATCCAGGTAGGAGACGCCCGGCCCACTCTTCGGCCTCCTTATCCTCTTCGGCTTGTCTGCTCCCTTCACGGCAGACACCGGTCACGGGCATGGAATAACATCGGAAGTGGACGCCCCGTCCACCACTCGGGACGCACCTGCGTCCTCACCTTTTGAAGACGAGGCGGACTCCTCGTCCTCAACTTCGTCGTCCACAGGCTCTCCGGACTTGTAAGGACTTAAGTGTTGTATCTCCTCCTCGAACTCCTCAAGCACCTCATAGTCGAGCGACCTAGTGGAGGGTTGGTCGTCGTACGGATAGTAGTCTTCGTTCAAGCTCTTCATCATAACAACTACTACGAGCCTAAGGGGAATAACTTAGGATCTAAGGGTGTTCAAGCGCCTAACACTAGATCACTAACCTAGGAAGCAAAGTATGCAAAGTACAGAAGATTGCGATGAACACTAACCTCGAACACGAAGAACACGAAGAACACGAGCTTGGGAGTTTCTCTCTCTAGAAAATTGGCCAGCGCTTCGACAACTCAGATTGCAAATGAGGATTCTCGTCGGAAGGGGAGGGGTATTTATAGAACCCCCCACCCAACGGTCACTACACGTGGCACCCTCCCAATGGCCACATCAACGGCCATCAATGGGAGGCCACCACGTCACCAACGGGCCAAGCCCAACCTACATATCAAGAGCCCACTGGCAAAACAGAATCTACGGCCTATACGCTTGCCGGCTTCACAAGTGCCCACAACGGCCTTGATGGCTAGTCTACCCGGGGGTATATATCCGAATGGTTATTACGGGGAATAACTTAGAGAGAAGTCAGAGCAAGTAAGTAAAAGTAGAGAGAGTGTATTCAGTATGAATGCCGTTTTCAGCGTGGTTACAAATGAGGAAATGGGGTGCTATTTATAGTAGCAATAAATGCCGGGCAGGGACACGTGTCAAGCGCTCATTGGCCGAGGGGTCACCTCAACTGGTTGGCGCTGGCAGCCGCATGTGGCCGCATTTAATGCGGCTGTTGGATGGGACGTCTATGCGGGGTACGGTGATCTGTATGCATGTGAGGCGGATATCTTGTCGAGTGAGATGCCTTCGGCTATAGAGCAGTAGCCGAGGGCTCTTCCACCCGATGGCACCCTGGTGCCGAGGGCTCACAGTGCCGAGGGCCACTGATTTCTCCGTTTTCTCCCAGTTTCTTAATTTGCTTGAGAAACCCGTTCTGTGAGAATTTGGAGCCTTCGGCCAGGGGGCCGAAGGCACCCCTGGCGCGTAGTGCGGACTGCTTGGTACTCTGGGCGCTGTGATTTGGGCCTGTCGGGCCTTTTGGGCCTGTTGGGCCTTCGCTGGAGTAGTAGGAGTCTGTGGGCCGGGGGTTCCCGGGCCATATACTCCATCAGGAGTCCCTCACTCCTTTTGCCGAAAGGTACTTGAGGGAAAAGGAGTAATTTGTGCTTGCCCTTTGATGTTGTCCCGTCGTGATCTCTGAAGTTGGTGAGGAGTTGTTGCTTTTATGTCCCTGCCGAAGGCAGTCCCTCAGTTACCCACATGTCGGGACTTGAGGGCTTGCTTTGTTGTTTGTTGGAATTTCTACATCTTTTGTAATTTAATGATTTTCCCGAGGGGTCCTCCAGTCCCCCACTCCTTGAGGCACTTGTAAAGTGGTGAAAAGGAGTAGAGTAGTTGCTTTGCTGTTGTGGGCCGAAGGCTGTCGTCTTTCGTTTCATTTTGGGGGGATGCCTCGTTAAAAACCTCATTAGGAAAAAACCCTTTGGGAAAAAATCCTAATGAGGGAAAAAGAGTGCACCGAATTCCTCCAATGATGAATCGAAAATGTCAAACCTTGGTAAAAAATGGAGAATGACGGGAATGCCGAAGGCTCTCTCTTCTGAGGGCTCCTGTGTTGATTAGCCGAAGGCTTGCTGTTGATGTCCTGGTGGCGCCGAAGGGGAGCCCCTCCATTCGGGGATCGAGGGCCTGCTGGATGAGGGCGGTAATGGAGTTGTTACCGGGGGGTCCACTGCTTGTTGATTAGTTGGTGGTGAAGATACCCGAGGGCTCCCATTACCTGTGTGCCATGGGTCATCCGTCAATGAGGCAACTCCCCGGGGGCTACCCGGTTTTGCAGTGCTGAGGGGGAATCCCCAAGGGGTGCCCTGATATGAAGCCCTGGGTTTCTGAAGGAGTGATCCCGAAGGCGTCTGTTATGTGCTGTGTGGGGCACAACCCGGGGGCACTTCTGAGTGAGTGTACCCGGAGGCTATCCTTGATGAAGTGGAGTGAAGTAGAAAACTCGGGGGCTTCCAGAATATAGCCGTTGGAAATATAGCCGTTGGAATATGTAACGACAGGATATAGCCGTTGGGGGGTGGCACACGTGGTGTGTGATGGCTGGCTGTTCGCGGGCGGCGTCACCGGTTGGGTGAAACGACGGTGTGTAATGATGACGGTCCGTCCGGAGGCCCGATTTCCGGGCCCAAGCCCGGATTCCAGCGCCTATAAATACCCCAAGGCCAGAGCCATTTCCCCTTGTGCGATCATTTGTCTTAGCGAAGCTCTGCCCAAAATTCTAGTGAGAGAAACTCAGGCCTTCGGTCACAACTTCTGCTTTCAAGGTCAGTGCCCGCTTTCCCTTCACCTCTTAGCTACCTGTACTGTGCCCTTAGGTTAGGAGATAGAAAATTTAGAAAACACTAGCGTCTACGAGCCTTCGAACTAGAGTCAGCATGTCGTCCCAGAGTGATTCCCAGGATATCTCGGGGGAGCCTTCGGTAGAGATGGAGACATGCTCAGATGTGGAGTCTTCGAGTGTGGAGTCCTCGACAGGTGGTGATGCCGCAGTGGCCATGGAAGTGGAGAAGGACCTCCAGGCCGAAGTCGAAGCCGAGGGCTTCGAGCAAGAAAACGAGGATGAAGAGCTTGCCCTCGCCGTGCAAACCGCCGAGCAGGAAGAGGAGAGGGAGAGGCTGAAGGTGACGGTTGCCATTCCTCCCCCCCGGGGTGTCGGGGAAGCCAGCTCCTCCCGGCCATTGGACCCGACGCCCATAAGTGTGGCTCCCGGGAAGAAACACAAGACGAAGGCGGCCCCGAGGAAGAATCAAGCGGCAGTGGATGCCGGGCGGCCGGTGGGCATACCCGAGGGCCATTCGTTCTTGAATACTGCCGCTCTAGAGCTGAAGACGAAGGCGTCCCCGGCAGAATACCAGTCCACCCAGATGCTGGTTGGACCTTCGGCGCGCGTGGTGGAGCCCAGGGCAGATGATTTGCTGCGATACGCGCCCGAGGGGTGCTTTGCTGCTCACACCCTCTCGGTGGAGATGGGGCTCCAGTTCCCGCTCCATCCTTTTCTCTTGGAGTATCTGAGATTTGTGGGGTTGGCCCCTTTCCAGCTAACGCCCAACAACCACTCCTATGTGGCCGTCTTCCTCTCCTTATGTCAGAGCCGGGGGGTCGAGCCCACACTCGATCAATTCTTCATGTCCTTCAACCTTTGCCGGGGGGGACATTCAAATGCTGAGGGCTTTGCCAACCTTCAGCAGGTACCGGAGTTCCGGCTTTTTGATGATGTGCCCTCGTCTCACAAGGGGTGGAAAGAGAGGTTCTGCTATATCCGCCTCGAGGAGAATCCCTTCCCGGCCCAGCTCCGTAATAGCTTCCGGCGCCATCCGAAGGTGGGGAGCGCAGCTTTGGAGAAGAATGGCAAAGTGCTTGCCAAGAAGCCGGAGGGGTCTGACAAGCATGTCAAGATCAGAGAAGTCACCCTTCCAGAGGATTTGCTTAGCCTGGGCTTCCGGCAGTTCAGGCCGAGGGGCTCTTCGGATGAGAGATACCCTCCCCTCGATAGGGTCTTCGAAGGCGCCGGAGGTGATAACCGAATTGTTCACTGATGCGTTGATAGTTCTCTCTTATTCCGCTTTTTTTTCATGACGTAGTAACTGGTAGCCTTCGATCTAACCCTCCTGTTTTTTTTGTTCCTTGCAGGTAACAATATGGATGTTGGTTCCCTCTTCGCTTTGAAAAACGCGAAAGGGAAGAAGAAGGCCCCGGCGGGCGCTTCTGCCAGGGAGGGGCCCTCTCAAACTGCTGGCGCTGCTGCTGGCGCCGGAGGGTCCAAGGGTGCTGGGCCCGTTAAAAAGAAGATTGCTGGAAAGGGGACCGAGCCCCCGGCCAAGAAGCCGAAGACCACCGCCCCTACCAAACAACCGATCACCGATGTGGTGGTGATTGTGGACGAAGGGCACGCTTCTGCCTCCACCCCCAGGAACAAATCAATCAGGAGTTCTTTGGGCGGGAAAGGTTGGAGGCGTTAGTACCGAAGGGGGCCTCCGTGTTGGAGGGCAACTTGAACCCTTCGGCTCTGATGAGCCAGATGCTACCGTCGGCCGACCGACTGGCCCTTTCCCGGCTGGACGAGGGATCCCTCGAGGCGAAGGTCCTCCTGAATGCTGCCTCCGTAAGTCACCTTCCCTTCTTTGCTCATTGTTATGTTTTCCTTCTGTATTATGTTCATTATGCCTTATTCTTGCCTTCGTGAATTGCAGACTTTTATGGGCCTCTGCGAGCACCTCCGAAGGGTGGATCAAATGAGGGAGGCCAAGGGTGCCGCCGAGGGGGAGGCCGCCCTCCTCAGGAAGAAGCTTGCTGAAGCCGAGGACTCTCTCCGTCTGGCCACCGACGGCATGGAGCAGAGGGTGCAGGCTGCAAGGGCCGAGGGGGTCAATGAGGGGCTAGACAGGGCCGGGGAGGCCGCCGCTGAGGCCGCCCGTATTGCTGCCGATGAAGCCCGCGCGGCTCAAGATGAGGCCATCTCCAAGGCTCGAGAGGATGCGGTGATCAGCTTCACGGCCGAAGGGTGGAAGGCCGAAGACCGGAGGGAATGGCTCGCTTCGGTGGTGGGGGCTTCAGTAGACGAGTGGGTCGGGGGCCCCGGAAAGATGTGGCTTGCCGAGAGGGGCGACTCGTACTACCAAGGCGGGGAGTTCTTCACCCAACGCATCATCTACCGGAAGCTTGCGAAGCACTTCTAGGTGGCACCGGAGGAGTTCCGTCCAGAGGCTTATGGTCTCCCCCCCGCCAGCCAGATGTCAGGATCCCGCTCCCCGAGGGGGAAGAGAGGCCAGTTCTTGAAGACTTGGAGATCCTCCGGGAGTGCGGCCTTGGGGGTGAAGAAGATGAAGCCGAGAGCGAGGCGATGTCCACAGTACCCCCTTCTTGAATTGTAATCCCCCCTTTCGTGTTGTAATTGTTGGCCTCAGCCTCCTTTGTAACAGTGTATTTAAACTCCCTTTTTGAATGAATGAGTGAATGCCTTCGGGCTTTGTATCTATGGCCTCTTTTTTTTCTAATTCCTTCCCTCTTGAATGTATGCCTTCAGTATTTTTGAATGTATGCCTTCGCTCCTTTGAATGTATGTTTTAGGACTTAGAGTATTTTCTGATTGTAGCTAGCCCTTGGAAGCCTTCGGTAGTTGGGCATCCTCTGCTGGACATACAACCGAGGGTTCAGCCATAATTAGGACTTAGAAAATTTTTCTAAGTGTAGTACAGCATGGGGCCTTCGGGTGTTTGTAGTAACCCAATTCCTAGGACTTAGAAAAATTTCTAAGTGTAGATTTTCCCTTGTGAGCCTTCGGGAAATGGGATCCCTTCCTGATGTGTGAATCTTGGACCGAGGGCCCAATGTTCAGGACTTAGAAAATTTTTGCAAGTGTAGTATGCCACGTAGCCTTCGGCTACTGTGGAGCCTCAACTGAAACATTGAGTAGGCCGGGGGCCAATTCTTTAGGACTTAGGAAATTTTCTTGGGTGTTGATTCCTTGTGTACTGTAGCCTTCGATTGATAGGCAGCCTTCGGCAATTAGGTCCCCTGAGATGAGGGTGAAATATGTAGGACTTAGAAAATCTTCTAAGTGTAGAGTTTCCCTTGGGAGCCTTCGGGAGATGGCATCCCTCCATGATGTATGAGTAGCTGACCGGGGGGGAAATATGCAGGACTTAGGAAATATTCTAAGTGTAAATTTTCCCTTGGGAGCCTTCGGGAGATGGCATCCCTTCTTGATGTATGGCCTTCGACTGTCATATTCCTTTAGCTGCAATACTGATTGAGCCGGGGGCCCAATTTTAGGACTTGGAATTTTTTCAAGTGTTGTTTCTTTGTGTAGCCTTCGGGTGATAGGTGCCATCTGACTCTGCATTACTTTGCGAGATGCCTGGGGGCTACTAATTTAGGACTTAGAATATTTTCTAAGCGTAAATTGGTGTTGAGCTTCCGGATGTAGATCCCTTGTGTTGTATGAGTCTCTGGCCGAGGGCCAAATATGTGTGGAATCCTGTTGTTGTGAAGAATGCCAACGATGAGTGTGTGCCCTCGGCATAATTTTTTCTAGTTGTAGATTTCGACCCTTGCTGGAGCCTTCGGTGCCTGTGTGACCGGAGGTGACCAGGCAGTGGACTTAGCCGTTTCCTGATGATATTTGTTTGAGTGGTATCCTTCGGGAAATAGGAGCCTTCAATTACCGGAGGTGTCCCCGTGGGGAGCCCTCGGGATGTTGTGATCTGTTGGAGTGTACTCTTTGATTTCTCGCTGAGTCTACTCCCCTTCACCCCTTTTTTTTTTTTGGTTGGTGGTGAAGGGAAGGCATCAAGAAACTTGGTTTCTTGGTAAGGCTGGGCCTATTAGGAGACCATCAGAATACACCAATGGCTCTCCTCCCTCGGGTTAACCTTCCGAGTTCCGAGGGGATCGAGGGACGTTTCCTGGGCACAAGATATGGTGGTCCGTAACCTGCCTCCCCTTGGGGGATGGCGCGGAAAGCGCCTCATTTTTGAAAGTCATCCCCTCGGCGCTAGACATAGTCCGTGGCCTGCCACACCCTTGGGGTGGTGGCGCGGGGAGCGTTTCGGTTTGGAAGTCGAATCCTGGGCATTTCTCATGCCTGTCATACCCTGGGGGTAGTGACGCGGATAGCGTTCCGTTTTTGAAAGTCGAATCCTGGGCATTTCTCATGCCTGTCATACCCTGGGGGTAGTGACGCGGAAAGCGTTTCAAGGAAGGGTTTTCATTTGCACACTGGTTGCAAATGGCCGGGGGCACTACATGCCGCCGGCACCGATGGTGGCGCCTTCGGTATATGCGTCCTCGTGGGGTACGGCTTTTAGAAACAACACTTAGGGTTAGTTTCGATGTGTAGCCTCCGGTACTTGGTACCGAAGGGTCTTCAAATGAAACACTTGGTGTTTCCCAACAGATGTTTGGAAGTTGATAGGAGAGCCTATCCCTGGCACTGGGTGCCGAGGGGTCTTCTTTGAAACATTTGGTGTTTTTTTGTTCGTTTCGATGTTTGATGATGGAGGTGTACCCTCGGCACTGGGTGCCGAAGGGTCTTCTGTAGGAACACTTGGTGTTCTCATCTTTTCTTTTTTGATGTTGAAGGTGGGGATGTACCCTCGGCACTGGGTGCCGAAGGGAAATAAAACACATGGCGTTCCTTGTTGTTGGTGATAGGAGTTCCCTCCCTCGGTACTTGGTACCGAGGGGTCTTGACTGAAAACACGTGGTGTATGAGGGCTTGTAGTCAGTATGAGGGCTTGATGTCTTGAATGTATCTTCATTCTTCGAAATTGGAGGCCTTGGGCCATAGGATAGTACATTCGCTAGTTATGAGGGCTTGGCCGCTCTTACACTATTGATAAAATTTAACTAAATGGTGTACATTCCAGTGCCTAGGGACTTCTTTCCCATTGGGGCGTTTGAGCTTGTAGGTCCCGGGTTTGATGATGGCTGCTATGATGTAGGGGCCTTCGAATTTTGGTGCCATTTTTCCTCCCTCGGTTGGTTGGCTGGCTTCCCTCCTCCGGAGGACATAGTCCCCCACTTGAAATTCTCGGGTGCAAACTTTGGCGTCGATGTAGCTTTTAACTTGCCTTCGGTAGTTTTCTGCCCGGATGAAGGCCTGCTCCCGGCGTTCTGAAATGAGGTGGAGGTCGAGGGCCATGTTGCTGTCGTTGACCTCGGGATCATATTGGATCACCCTTCGGGTAGGAAGGGTGACTTCCGTAGGAGCTTTGGCTTCAAAACCGTAGCAGAGGGAGAAGGGTGTTTCTCCTGTTGCTCGCCGAGGGGTGGTGCGGTAGGCCCAAAGGATGTTGTGGAGTTCTTCCACCCAGCCACCACCCTCGGCCTCCAGCTTCTTTTTGAGGCCCTCGAGCAAGGTCCGGTTGGCGTTCTCTACTTGCCCGTTGCCTTGAGGGTAGGCAACGGAGGAGAAGGTGTGTTTGATGCCCCATGCCTCCAGAAGGGCACAGAAGGGGGCTGCCTCAAATTGTGTCCCATTGTCGGAGATGATCTGCTGGGGGACGCCAAACCTTGTGAGGATGTTCTTGAGGACGAAGTGACGGCACTTCGCCTCTGTGATGCTGGCGAGGGGTTCAGCCTCCACCCACTTGGTAAAATAGTCGACGGCCACAATGATGTATCTGTTGTTGGAGGTACCCCTCGGCAGAGGGCCCACAAGGTCTATCCCCCATCGAGAAAATGGGACAGAGGTGCTGATGGGGGCATAGTTGACCGCTGGCCTGCCGGGAGCTTTCTGGAAATGTTGACATGCGGTGCACCTCCGGGCAAGGTCAGCACAATCCCTGGCCATGGTTGGCCAGAAGTAGCCCTGGAGAATGAGCCTTCGGGACATGGAGAAGGGTCCCTGGTGAGCTGAGCAGGTGCCACTGTGCACTTCCTCCATTGCGACTTCGGCTTCATCTGGATGAAGGCACCGAAGTAGCGTGCCATTGTAAGATCATTTGTAGAGCCTTCCATCTTCGATGGTGTAGCTGGGAGCCCTCAGCTTTGCCAGTTTAGTGCGGGCCTCATTCTCGGGTAGCTGCCCTGTGGAGATGAAGGCGGTGATATCTGAGATCCAATCCTCCTGACGTTGTTGTATGTTCATAACGGGACTTGCATGGATGCTTGAGAGGCTGAGTTCCTCGATTTTGGCAATTTTGGATATGTGCTCGGGGGAGTCGGCCGAGAGCTTAGATAATATGTCGGCCTCGGAGTTCTGAGCCCTCGGTATTTGAGTGAGAGAGTGTGCCTCAAATACCTTAAGCAACTCCTTGGCCGCTTCCTTGTACTGTTTCATTCTCCCCTCCTTGGCCTCATATTCTTCGGAGATTTGGCCAACGACCAACTTGGA